AGAAGGGGATAGAACTTCTTCCTACAAGTTGTCCTCTGACCTCCACACATATACTATGGTATGCATGCGTGTCACATGAACAAATAACTGAATGCAGTTGTACGTTTTTAAAAACACAGTAAAACAAAAGGCTCTATGCCATCCACAAACCTTGTGCCGAGAAAGAACAATCTGTGCCCGTCCCCCAGTGATAACTGTTCACACGGGATTCGTGTGCTCAGTTGTGCTCCGCCACAGAACTACATCCCCAGCAAAGTTGTAGGAAAGGTTTTTAAAGTCATCAGCAGAGGAGACATCCTAGGTACAGGGAGGAGTCAGAGTGACGTCAGAGTGACGTCAGAGTGACGTCAAAGTGACATCAGAGTGACATCAGAGTTACCAGCAGAAGCAACGGGGAGACTCGATCTATGGGAAGAATTTCCAGGACACCCCTACAGACGCCACTACAGAGCAAGCCTCAATAAAACAAGGAGTAAATCAAGAAACGAGATGTGCTTCACAAAGGTGAAGAACAGTGGAAGGGAACCCCAAGGCAGCATCGTTACGAGCCCCACCTGAAGGAGAAAGAGGTTCACAGACACAGCTCTCCAGAGCGAAGAAGAGACTAGTCAGATGGGGGTTGAACATTTAGAAAAAAAAAAAAAAACTACTGCTACATATGGACCGTTGGCAGGGCAAACCACTGCAGATAATTAGAGCTAAATGACTGAGAAGAAATGGCTGTGATTGACTCTAGGTAAAAACCAAGCCGTAAGGAAAGAAAATGTAATAGTATTTTATTGCTTGACCAAAGAGTTTATTTACTTGGTCAATAATGTAAACACTATTGATTTAACTGTAAATTGTGAGAAATTATATTGTGAGGAAAAGGAGGAGGAAAGGGAGGGTTGGGCTGCTTCAAGAGAACTAATTCCTCAGCTGCCAGAATAATAAATAATAAATTTTGTCCAAAATTGATAAATCAAGTAATAGTAGTCTATCGGTTTGCTGAGGCTACCATGACAAAGAACCACAGACTGTGTGGCTTAAACAACAGGAATGGCGCTGGAGCCATGCCTCAGAGGTGACAGCACCGGCTGCTCTTGCAGAGAACCCAGATTCCATTCCTAACAGCCACATTGGCTCAACCATCTGTAACTCCAGTTCCAGGGTGTCTAGCGCCCTCTTCTGGCTTTGACGGGCACTGCATACTCACAGCAGACACGCATACATCTTTAAGAGAAAAAAGCAGAAGTGTATTCCCTCCCAGGTCTGCAGGTTGAAAACTCTTATCAGAGTCCTGCAGGGTAGCTGGCTGCTGGGCCTCTCTGCTTCCATTATAAATGGCATCTTTCCCTGTATCTTCATTTTAGCTTCCCATATCTTAATATCTTCCAATATTTTTAAATTTTAAAACATACACTATTATCACTGGGGAGTGTAGTGTGCATATGCCATGGTGCATATGTTTTTAGAGAACAACTTGCAAGAGGGCCTGGAGGTTCCTCTGCACTGGTCCTGCCCAGGGGCCACTCTAAGGGTCCTGAGCCCATCAGCAACTGGTCAAATCACAACTCTCATGGCTGTGGCCTCAGGGACCCTCATGTTTCCACCAACCATCTCAATGTCTCATGGTCCTTTCACTATGCTAAAGGTAGGCTAGCCTTGAACTCATAGATGTCTGCCTGCCTCTGCCTCTTAAGTGATGGAATCAAAGATGTGCACCACCACACCCAGCCCTGACCTCTTCTTGTAAAAAAAAAAAAAAAAAATCTGCGTGTTAAACAAAGTTGCACCTCAATGACCCCACTTAATTCTAATTGCTGTTTTAAAGACCCTGTCAGGGCCTAAAAGATAGTTGGTAAAGGGTTTGCCTGGCAACCATGAAGACCAGAGTTCAATCCCTAGTGTCCACATCGATGGAGGAGGAGAAGCAAGCCATTCTAGGCTTGCTGCCAAGAATGAGATATTGACAGGGCCCTGCTATCAGACTTTTATTAGGAGATGATAGATAATCCGAGCCATGCTGCCATTCTTGGACTCCAACAAAGACAAGTGGACCTCTGATGCCAGTCAACCAGGAAGTCTAGCCTAGTTGGTGAGGCCCAGGAGAGTGAGAGATCCTGTCTCAAAAAACAAGGAACAACATTTGAGGTTAACCTCAAACGCAGACAGGCTGAATATTGGCACGCACACACATATACATACAGACCCTACCTCAAAATAGAGTTATATTCTAAGGTACTGGGGATTGAGGATTTCGACATATGAAATTGAGGGAAATACAGCCCAGCCTATAACAAGTTGTATGCGCATTTGTTATTTGGAAATGTGGAAGTAAAGTAAGTTTTCTGTGGCCGGAGGCAGGAAAGAGGCTCAGGGCTCGGCCAGTCTGATGCCAGAGCTCGTGCTCCTCCCTGAGGAGTGACTCCAGGACCCTGGCGAGGCGGCACGCACTCCTGCATCCCATGGCACCTTGTAGGGAGCTACTCATGGGCTTTTCCCGCACATTTAAGAGTTAAAACTAGGTGTAGTGGGCACAAGCCTCTGCCTCTGCCTCTGCTTCCCTAGTGCTGGGGTTAAAGGTGAGTGCCACCACTGCCCAGCTGGCCCTCATTGTTTTAATGCCAGTTTGGCTGTTGAAGGTGTCTTACAGCCTGTGGCCATTATTTTTATGTCTCTGATTGCAATAGTTTGTCATAATCGATGGCATTCCATGAAAGTTTGGTCATTTTTTGTGTTTAGGTTGGTCCACACTTGTCCTGTCCCCCCACCCTGGCCCCCGGTTCTAGAAGCTGATTGGACTTTATGATGTCTTCCTGAAGCTGTGTGGGCGCCCCTCCCAGGAGCACAGACCTAGTGTCCTCTGGGGAGGAGTGGAGTTTGGTATGTCTGTACGTCTGTCTCAGTGTGTAGGTACGTCTGTCACAGCATGTCTCAGATTATCACTTCCTAATAAAAGTCTGATAGCAGGGCCCCATCAATATCTCAAATACATGTGAGGAAACGTTAATTTAGAATCAATTTTAAGATGTTTCAGACTGTAAAGTCCTTTTAACTAGATCTCTGGCGAAGACGTAGGAGCACTTTATGGGACTGTAAATTTCATGTTGAACCGTCTCTGTGAAATACACATCTCCCTACACACAAGCTGTTCCTCCATATCAATCATGGCCACTGCAAGTAATGTTTCACAAATATTCTGTAAATCACAGAAAACCCCATGATAATGTGAAATATGACTTTCACTTGTCTGTTAGACAAAAGAATCGCACGTGCCTTTATCCCATCAGCACTAACATTTGTTATGGATAATAACACTTTCAATCACAACTATTTTTGGGAAACGGGTTTATTTTAAGCCTCCCCTCCCCCCACCAAAAACACTCTTCCAAGGACACAGCCTCCTACAAACCACAGCCCATTAATCCAGCTATGAAACAGGAAGTTGTTCTTCCCCCTAACTTTACTTTGAGTTATTTTAAAGAGTTGGAATAAAGCGCCCAACTCCAAGGTTAAGAACAACTTTGCCTAAACTGATCAGCCCTGGTCTCTAAAGACCTCAGTCTCCCATCCAGCTTGAAGAGATCTCTGAGAGCCACTGAGGCTTTTAGCAAACACCTCCCCACCACCCCCACCCTACCACCCTGTCCCTGCCCAGATCTTGGGTTTTCTCATTTCTGGCCTTCACAGAGATGCCAGCCACGATAGTGCTCAGCTCTAAACCCAGTACTGGTGGTTGCTGAGGCAGGTGTATTCCTAGAACTTGATGGCCAGCCAGTCCAGCCAAATTGGTGAGTTCCAGGTTCAAAGAAAGACTTTATCTCCAAAAATAAGGTGGCAGAAACAGGTATAGTGCCACATACCTTTAATCCCAGCACTCAGGAAGCAGAGGCAGGAGGTTCTCTGTGAGTTCAAGGCCAGCCTGGTCTTTATAAATGGAGTTCAAGGCCAACCAAATTCTATCTCAAAAAAATTAAAAAAAAAGAAAGAAAAATAAATAAGGTGGAAAGCAGTTAAGTAAGATATCCAGCATCAACCGCAGACTTCCACATATATGTCTACAAGCCTGTGTGGACACTAACACACACACACGCACGCACAAACACAGGGGGAAAACGTTTAACTTAATTCCTGTAATCCAGCATTCACAAGATTAAAGCAAGAGGTTTCTCATGAGTTCAAGGCCAGCCTGGGCTACATTGCAGAACTATGTCTCAAAAAGAAAGAAAGAAAAAAAGAAAGAAAGAAAGAGAGAAAGAAAGAAAGAAGGAAAGAAAGAAAGAAGGAAAGAAGGAAAGAAAGAAAGAAAGAAAGAAAGACAGAAAGAAAGAAGGAAAGAAAAGAGAAAGAATGGAAGGAAGGAAGAAAGGAAAAGAAAGAAAGAAAAAGGAGAGGAAAGGAAAGGAAGGGAGGAAAGAAGGAAGGAAGAAAAAAGCAGACACTGTGGCACAGTGCTAATACCTGGGAAACAGAGGGCAGGCAGACCTCTAAGCTCAAGGCCAACCTGCTGTATGTTTTCATTGAGATAGTATCTTTCTCTGCTTCAGCTCATATTAACTTTGAAATTATCTTCCTCCTGCCTCAGTGTCTGGAAGTACTAGGACTGTAGGTTTATGTCACTGTTGGACCAGCACATTCCTTTTATTCCAGTACATCCTGGCTAAAGCCTCCCTGTACAAGATCCTAGACCCCCCTCCCCACAGTGTTGGGATTAACACGGCACCTTGCACATGAGAGGCGAGTACTATACCTGTGAGCTACAGCCCCAGCTTTCTGTCACCCAACCACCATTCGGTCACTGAAACTCAGAGGGCCCTGCAAGCACTGCTAGGAAGCCACACCCTTCACCCACTAGTGTGGCTTTGGCACGTGCATCAGCACAAAGGCTCCCCAACCTACAAGTGGATCTGTAGAAAAGTGCAGCCCATGAAGTTATGGGTTCACGTGGTCCTAAACATTATGGTACCCCATTTTCTGTACTTTGCAGTCACCCTCCGAATTCTCAGGATTGGCTGACCATGACCTCTATAAAGGAGCAGGCAGCGATCAGCCGGCTCCTGAGCTTCTTGCAAGAGTGGGACGACGCCGACAAAGGCCTCCGAACTCAGATTCTCACCACGTTCATCGAAACCAATGAAGGCAAGACCGGCCCCGAGTTGGAGCTGGAGTTTTCCCAGGGAGCCAGTTTGTTCCTCATACGAGTGACCACCTGGCTTAGAATCATGTATCCTTTGATAAATTGGTGGGGAGGGGGACATCATCAAAAGGAGGTGGGGAGTATAGGCGAGAGAGCTTTTCTCTTGATTCCAATATTTTAGAATTGGAAATATGGTGATAAAAATATCTCCAAAGTCTAGAACTCTACTGACTGCCTGTTTTTCCGACCATCTTAGTTAGGGTTTCTTTGTTGTGAAGAGACACCATGACCAGGGCAGCTCTTATAAAGGACGTTTAACTGGGGCTGGCTCACAGGGTCAGAGGGTCAGTCACCATCAAGGACTGTCACCTAGGTGGGAGCATGGCAGCATCCAGGCAGGCATGGCGCTGGAACAGCTGAGAGTTCTACATCTTTTCTGAAGGCAAACAGGAGAAAACTGACCCCTCAGGCAATTAGGAGGAGGGTCTCAAAGTCCCTCCCCGCAACACACACACACACTGACACACTTTCTCCAACAAGGCCCTACCTCCTAATAGTGTCACTCCCTGGGCCAAGCATATTCAAACCAACACATGAGTCTAAGCGTGTCCTTATTCTAAACTCTGCCCTTTGTCTCAGGAGACTTGGAGCTAGTGCTCCCTCTGTCTGTCTAAGATGAATGTGTTTATTCTACATTTGACTCTTCCTCAGGGACTTTGTTTTCAGTCTTGCATCTTTTTCATTTTCCTTTTCTTCAATTTCTTTTTATCATCTTTTAGTGTCTGTGTGTGTGTGTGTGTGTGTGTGTGTGTATGTGTGTGTGTGTTGGCTGCATGTATGTCTGTATACTATGTGTACCTGGTATCCTCAGAGGCCAGAAGAGAGCATCAGGTCATCTGGAACTGGAGTCACAGATGCTGTAAGCCACTGTGTAGGTGCTGACAGTCGAACCTGGGTCCTCTGGAAGAGCAGCCAGTGCTCTTGACAGTCAAGTTATCTCTCCAGCCCCACTTACTCCTTTTTGGCAAGGTAGGGTCTCATGTCACCCAGGACAGCCTCAAAGACTATGTTGCCGAAGATGTCTGACCCCTTTGCTTCCACCTCCCACGTGCTGGGATCACAGACATCCATCTCCACACATGACATTTACTCTAAAAATGAAAATCCTAACATCACTGCTGAGCTCACCTGCCCTTCCCTCTCACAGTGGAACTTGCTGAAAAGGCCACTGTGTCTCCCTGTCTCCTCTTCCACTGTCTCCCCTGATCACTGCAGTCTCTGCTCACCCAGTTCCACCAGTGCGGTCTTCCCAAGGTTCCCAGTGGGTTTCTCACTGCAAAGCTGGGTGGCCAAACCCTCGTTCCTTACACATGCCCTCTTGATGACATTTGTCAGTCAGCCCTTCCTGCTTCTCCATGCAGTCCCCTAGACTCCTAGATGTGGCTGTCCTGTTTCCTCTTTCCTTCTGGATGATCCTTCTCTGGCCATCCTTCCCATAATTCTAGGCGTTTTTGAGCCTCCGTCCTTCTTTTCTCTGCTCACTCACTCAGTTCCTCCTGGATAATCAAATCCGTTCTTCTGATGCCAACATCACTCCGCCGGAAGAGTCTCCAGTTTCCTTCTGGAATCTGAGCTCTTTACCGAGAGACATCCAACTACTGGCTCTCCCTGTGCCTCAGATAGACTCACATTTCTGGTTTATGAAAAAAAAAAACTAGGTAAACAGCAAGAGAACACAAAAAAAGGAGCACCTTCAGTTAAGAGCATTGGCTGCTTGGCTGCCTCTAGAAGTCCTGAGTTCAAGTCCCAGCAACCACGTGGTGGCTCACAACCATCTCTAATGGGATCTGATGCCCTCTTCTGGTGTGTCAGTACACATACAGACAAAGCACTCATATATATGTAATACATAAATCTTTAAAAAACAAACAAACAAAACCCTTATTTGGGACAAGTTTGCAGTTCCTGTGTTGTTTAGGGTCCTGGAGGCAGAAGAGGACTGAAGACAATTTGGTCACCGTTGCTGAGGGTGAGTGGATCAAAACTGTTAGTGTTGTCTGTGAGGACCACATTGCTTTTACTCTCGGTGGATTTACTTCAGACCTTCCCTTCCCTCTTCCCTTGGCTAGAACCAGGACCTTAATGCATGCTAAGCAATCTGGCCTTGAACTTGCTCTATGGCCAAGTGTTAGGGTTTCTATGGCTGTGATAAAACCACTAAAGCAGCTTGCAAGGGAAGAATTTATCTCACTTTACTGCTGGTAGTCCGTCATCCAATCCATCGGGGCAAGAACTCGAGGCAGGAACCCGGCGGCAAGAACTGAAGCAGAAGCCACGGGTTAACACGGCTTACTGACTTACTCCACGGCTTGGTCAGCCTACCTTCTTATACCATCTGGGAACAGCAGCTCAGCAGTGGCGCCTCCTACAGTGAGCTGGGCCCTCCCACCTCACTCATCATCCAAGACAGTGCCCTACAGGTTTGCCTACAGGCCAATCCAACGGAGGCATTTTCTCTATGAAAATTCCTTCTTTCCAGGTGACCATAAACATGTCAAGTTGACATAAAAACTAGCCAGCACACTAACAATGACCTCGAACTCCTGATCCTCCTGCCTTTCCCTTCTGAATGCTGGAACTGCAGGTGTGAGCTCTCCCACTCTCTCCTCTCAAGCACCCTGGTGACTCAGACCAGGTGTTCACTGGCATTTGCAGGAACTTGGTCACTCAGTGGTAGAGCCGTTATACCTGAGGAACAGGAGTGCTTGGATGGCTTCTGACCCACATCTAACAGTGACCTCAATTATCAGTGGCCACTTTGCTGTCAAGTCTAGACTGATTTTTGTTTGTCTCAGCATTTCCTGTGACCACCTGTGAGGTGAAGGAGGTACACGCTCTAAGACCGATTCCATTTAAAACTCTGATATTTTATTGTGAACTTTATCTTAACTTTTTTTTTTTTGTCTTGGATTTTGTTTTGAGACAAGGTCTTCCTATATCATTCTATATATCACTGTGTCTGGCCTAGAACTCATTACGTAGCCCAGGCTGGCTTACACAGATCTTCCTGCCTCTGCCACCGAGTGCTGGGATTGTAGATGTAAGCCACCACACTTGGCTTTAATGTCAATATTTTGAGTTTAACATTGAAGTAGGATTTGATGAGGTAGAAGGAAGGAAGGGAGGAAGGAGGGAGGGAGGGAGGGAGGGAGGGAGGGAGGGAGAGGAGGAGGGAGGGAAGCTAGGCATGCTGGAAAGCGTCTATAATCCTGGAACTTGGACTTCAGTCCTTCGACAGCAGCTGCTACCCTTCACAGGCTACCCTCAAACGTGTGCTCCTCCTGTCTCAGTCTCCCAGTGGCTGGGACTTCAGGGATGCACTGTTCCTCTGCCCACTGTCCCTTCAGAGACACTCCACTCCTCATCCTCCTGTCAATGTGTCTGTCTGTCTGTCTGCTGCAGGGCCTGTCTGACCCATCCCATGCTCTGCTCACCTCTTCTCTCTTGTGCTCAGTGCATTTAATACAGGGGGCATCGTGCCTTCTCCTTATGCCATGCGCCTGCCAGCCAATGCTAACAGGCTGCCTCTGTGAACCATGCTGTTCGTCTACAGTTTGGAGACCCTGTTTCTAACCTAGAATCATCCATCCCTTACCTTCTTTGTGATCCCGCCATTAGGAGTAGCCCACCGGAAGTGACAGTGCATTGAGGTAGCTATCCCTCCCCCAAGTCTTCCAGTTACTTACTCGAGGAAAACAAACCCACATGACATCGTTATGCTTTGCAAAACTGACCAAACGAACCCAAACTTTTTGTCAGTCTTGAACTTCTAGAACAGATCAATACAGTGATTTATACAATGATGGTGACACTGTAGCTGCCATTTTCTGTGTCTTTTAATGCTCTAGGCCCTGCGTCCTGTACCATTCATATGTTATGTCCTTTGGTAGTCTGATAGGTGATTTCTAAGATCATTGATAAGAAAAAGGAGCCTGAGGCCAGCCTGGTCTACAGAGTGAGTTCCAGGATAACCCGGGCTATAAAGAGAAACCCTGTCTCGAAAAACCAAAAAAGAAAAAGAAAAAAAGGAAAATGAGCCTTGGAAGGTTGAGTAGAGCAGGGTGTGGTGGTGCATGCCTGCCATCCCAGCATTCAGGATGCCAAAGGAGGAGCATCTGAAGTTCAAGGCTAGCCTGTGCTACATAGTGAGACCCTCTCAAAAAAGAAGGGAGGGGGAGAAAAGAGGAAAGAAAGGAAAAAGAGAGGGAAGGGGGAGGGAGAAAGGGGAAGGGAGAAAGGGGAAGGGAGAAGAGGAGAGAAGGGGAGGAAGGGGGAAAAGAAGAAAAGCATGTATCATAAGTGACTGAAACGAAGACTAGCCTGTGACAGGGGGAAAAGAGGTTGACAGAAGCTGGTCAGCCTAACTAGCAACTTAAGAAAAAGAGATAGGAAGGGGGCAGAGATTGGGACTAGAGAGGGGCATTATTGCAATAAAGAGATTGTCCTGTGGGTTGTCTGGCCCGGGCTTGATGGCAACAGGCAGGGGAGCCTGGCTCCAGAGCAAACACTGTTTTTGCACTAAAGAGCCTTTCCTAATGAGCCAATCTGTCTCTCTCTGTATTGGCATCCTGGGAACTGGGGTGCAGCAGAGATAATTTGCCTCACCCCACTCCCCAACAAAGCACCATTACCTCCAGCACATTAGCCTTTCTCAGTCCTGCAAGCTCTCAGTCATCCTCATGGACTGCAATAATTCCAGCTAATTTCTTAAGTGTTCTGAGAGCCTGTGATGTGTTATGAGCCTAGTAATTGTTGACTGGTTCCCTTTCTGCTGCGGCTTGATTTCATACCTTGTATTTGAGCCGAAGCGTGCTCAGGATGCTTTATTACGGTGAGGCTTTTTGCAAAGGCTTGCATTAAAAAATAACATTAAATACTAAGGTTGTTTTAAATCAGAGTTTAATTTTTCCTCCATTTCCTGTTATTCTTATTAGGAAGCCTTGCAATTCTTCATAGGGATAGTGACCTCCAGTGTAAAATTTTGAGCAAGTACAGAATGGAGAGTTGATGATAAAGATAATTCTTTTATTGTTGTTGGTTTGGTTTTTGAGACAGGATTTTTCGGTGTAATGGCCCTGACTGTCCTGGAACTCACTTTGTAAACCAGGCTAGCCTTGAACTCACAGAAATCCACCTGCCTCTGTCTCCAGACTGCTGGGATTAAAGGCGTATGGCACCAGGCTCAGATGAAGCTAATTTTTTGTAGAGAAGTCTAGGAATAAGGCCGAAAATAATGAGCTATGCAGAGACCCAAACGATGCATGACCCAAGCGACTGTCAGTTCTCTTCACATACTTGGGTGTGTGGGAGCCTCTGTGCTCCCTACAGAGTTTGCAGAGCCCAGACACATGGACTGCCCTGGAGGGACTTCTTAGAAAGCAGGGAAGGAAGTAACAACACACAC